AGCATGCAAGCGAAAGCACACCAAAGGAGGATACCTCGAGGTTGAAATGAGAAAAGAGAAGAGCAGTGCGAGCCGACTCTACTCCTAATCGAAGCACATTCTAGGGTGAACAATAACCAGTCCAATAACCAGTCCAGTCCATTTTAGGGTTCAGGTGAGAGAGTGCCGTGCAGGCAGATCTCGATCTCAATCCAGGGTGACACATGAGCCAAGGCAAAGCAAAGCAAAGCACACCTCAAGGTTGAGGTGAGAGAGCGCCGTGCAGGCAGCCAAGGAGGCCGGCAGAGAGACAATGCGGTTGGCGCTGGCCTGCAGGGGATGGGGAAAGGAGAAGCAGCAAGACTGTCCAGACACGGTGAAACAGGAAAGCACAGGGACGAGAGCGCAGGGACGAGAGCGCAGGGAGGAGAGCGCAGGGAGGAGAGCGCAGGGAGGAGAGCGCAGGGACGAGAGCGCAGGGAGGAGAGCGCAGGGAGGAGAGCGCAGGGACGAGAGCGCAGGGAGGAGAGCGCAGGGAGGAGAGCGCAGGGAGGAGAGCGCAGGGACGAGAGCGCAGGGAGGAGAGCGCAGGGACGAGAGCGGAGGGAGGAGAGCGCAGGGAGGAGAGCGCAGGGACGAGAGCGCAGGGAGGAGAGCGCAGGGAGGAGAGCGCAGGGACGAGAGCGCAGGGACGAGAGCGCAGGGAGGAGAGCGCAGGGACGAGAGCGCAGGGAGGAGAGCGCAGGGAGGAGAGCGCAGGGAGGAGAGCGCAGGGACGAGAGCGCAGGGAGGAGAGCGCGGGGACGAGAGCGCAGGGAGGAGAGCGCAGGGAGGAGAGCGCAGGGAGGAGAGCGCAGGGACGAGAGCGCAGGGAGGAGAGCGCAGGGAGGAGAGCGCAGGGAGGAGAGCGCAGGGACGAGAGCGCAGGGAGGAGAGCGCAGGGGCGAGAGCGCAGGGACGAGAGCGCAGGGAGGAGAGCGCAGGGACGAGAGCGCAGGGAGGAGAGCGCAGGGAGGAGAGCGCAGGGAGGAGAGCGCAGGGACGAGAGCGCAGGGAGAGTGGTGCAGACAGCCAAGCAGGCAGGCAGAGAGGCGTTGCAGTTGGTGCTGGCCAGCAGGGGATGGGAGAGAGAGCGCTGGAAAGGACAAGACACCTGTTACGAAGTTAACATTAGACTATGCGTGGCTAGCTGTCAAAGAAGCAGGCCGGTTGGCTCCTTCGGCTGTCACGGTTCTCTGGCTGTGGAGAGTGGTGGCGCATTTGATGAGTGAGGAGAGTGGTGGCACATTTGATGAGTGAGGAGAGTGGTGGCACATTTGATGAGTGAGGAGAGTGGTGGCACATTTGATGAGTGAGGAGATGGGTGGCAAGGGCGAGTGGGGAAGTGCGGAGAGGGAGGGGAGCGTGCGATAGACCGCCAGGTGGGCAAGGAGCGTGCAGGAGGAGATGGATGGAACGTGGGAGGGAAGGAGAGTGGAGCAGGAGAGGGGAGAGGGGAGAGGGGGGAGAAGGGCTGGCAGGCAGACCTCGAGGTGGGCGAGCAGCGTGCATGAGGCAAGTCCCAGAGGGAGGCTCTCCAGCGCGTTGTGAGACACGTCCAGCCTGCACGTGGGACGGCCAGCAGTTACAGGAAAAGCCACGACATGGGTAGCAGACTCACAAATTCGATAAAATACGGAAGTTCGTGAGGGCGTAGTCTAAAGCATAACATAGTGACTTTTGAGTCAACTCAAAATTCACCTCGTGAGGGCGTATTTGTCAACCCAGTCTAAAGCAGCGCAAGAAGTTGGGAGGCAAGATGCTGCAAAAGGGACTTACAGGTCAACGCTCTTCAGCAGGAGGTACCCATTTGACTGTAGGTCAGATCCCCCGACTTCAAGTAACTCACATGACCAGGTTCGCTGCACTCACTTGACCAGGTTCGCTGCACTCACTTGACCAGGTTCGTTGCACCGCCTATCTCCTCGGGCAGAGCTTCCAGCTTGTTATGGCTCGCCAGCAGGCTCTTGAGCTCCACCAGCCTGCGCACAGATTAAGGGAGGACGGGAGAGGAACGGGAGATAGCAACCGGAGGTACACAGGGAGTGAGGGTGTCCTTCACGTGCTTCACCATAATACCTGTCTCCTCAAGTAGAGCCCCCAGCTTGTTGTGGCTCGCCAGCAGGCTCTTGAGCTCCACCAGTTTGTGTGGAAACAAAGGGCGGGAGGAGGGGATGGAAGAAAAGGGAGTCACACGGGGAATGAAGGAGTCCTTCACGTGCTAAGAGGGGAGAGAGGAAGTGGCTGCTGCGATGGCCTTTGACAACCTACAAGCTGTGCGCTGTGGTGGCACTGACATGGGTGCTTGTTGCACCGGGTGCCTTACCCATAACCCATAACCCACATGCCTTGAGCTCCTCACCTGACAACAGCAGCCGGCCGGTGAGTCAGCAGATTGTGGCTGACGCCCATCCAAAGCACGCCAGACGCAGCAGCTGACTATCCTCTTCCATACCCCATGCGCCATGCACCATCCCCCCATGCACCATGAAACATGCCCCATGCGCCATGCACCATCCCCCCCCCATGCACCATGAAACATGCCCCATGCACCATGTACCATCCCCCCATGCACCATGAAACGTACCCCATGCAACATACACCACTCCCCCATGAACCATGCATCATACCCCATACCGCAAGCACAATGCACCATGCACCGCATATCATACTCGGCACACTCACTCGGCCCATACCCCACCCATCACTCCACCCATCACTCCACCCATCACTCCACCCATCACTCCACCCATCACTCCACCCATCACTCCACCCACTCACTTGCCAATGGCAGCGGGCAGGCGAGCCAGCGCGTTGTAGCTGACGTCGATCCACGTGAGGCACGGCAGGCGGCCGATCTCCTCCGAGACCTGGGTGAGGCTGTTCTGCGAGAGAAGCACTTTCTGCAGCTCCACGGACTGGAGGGAGATGGGGGGAGAAGGGGGGGAACGGGGGAGATGGGGGAGACGGGAGGAGAAGGGAGAGCTTTGAGACAACAGCAGCTTCTACGAGGCAGTGGAGAGCGGGGGAGGGATGAAATTAGAAAAACGAAAAAAGAAAAGAAAAGAAAAAAAAAAAAAAAAAAGAGAAGGAAGAAGAGGAGTACGAATCAGTGCGATGGTGTTGCGTGTGCAATGCTGCCAAGTTGCCGACGCACTCATCAATGCATATCCCTCTCAGTACTCTATTAACACAAGTCCCTTTCCAACGCGCCTCCACCGATTCTCTGATCAAGGCAGCATCAGTATCAACACACATCTTTCACTATGGACACACCTACCACAGTCACACACACCATTCGCTGTCAACGCACTGACAGTCGTCAACGCACTGACCACCGTCAACGCACTGACCACCGTCAACGCACTGACCACCGTCAACGCACTGACCACTGTCAACGCAATCCCCGTTATTAACGCACCTCCCACCATTTCTCGGTTTGGGGGACGTCATCCAGCAGCGAGTACACCTCGGGAGGCACTTCCCTGAGACACGCAGCATGGTAAAAACAATACGACGGAAAATGACTGAATTGATGGGGACGATACGAAATGGTTCTCAGAGAAGCCGTTTGACATGATGGCAGGAGGGACTGATGAAGAGGGGAGGGACATGAAGTTGCACAAACCACTCGTTTCTATTGAGAATTCTGAAATAACCGACCGACAAAAGGGAAATCGCTTTGAAACAGACACTAGGAAGAAAACACGGTTATATGATTTTCGTCCGAAAACCAAAAACTGCGATTTTTTTCCGAGTTGACAGAATGCTTGGCGCGCAAAGAAAGGGCGTGTTGAGAATGCATTCCCCCCAATCTGGATTCGGATAACCTGGATTGGCATTCCGCCGATTTTGAAAACATTTAAAATTTTACTGGAGGTATGATTTCGTACTTGAGATCGTTTCCCGAAAGGTTGAGAGTCCCTGATGCCCTGGCTGCCTTGAATACAGCGTCGAGTCCAGGAGTAACGATCACTATCCCTCTACTCATATCAGCCCGCGCACCGCCCCTCCTCATTTCGCGGAATCGTTAAAGATCGTGAATGCTCGCCCAAGAGCCTGCTCAGAAGCTACGAATCGTGTCGAAGGCTCGACAAGTAAGGTAGGGGTTTCGAGACCCTGGCCTGAAATTACATAATGTTTGCTAGTCCTAAACTGTCTTGGCAGAATGTTTGCTTCGTAGAATCGTCAGAGAACCCGGCGTGTCAGGCACGAAACCATTCGATCTACAATAGCTTCGTCGCTTTCAACAAGCCCGAACTACCGCAAGGCGAGAGTAGGAACTACCTACCTCTCAGAACATGGTTCCCAGCTTTTGTTCGGCTTGGGATGATATTGTGTCAGAAACACTACACCGAGGCGCCAAATGCCTGCTTGGGAAATCCTCGATACGAATTTAGCTCCGAGTGTTCTACAGATGAGAGTAACTAAAAGTACAATATTGAACAAACTTACATGCACAGTCGGCTAATTTAGGGAATCGAGGGGCAGAAGCTGACGTCACCCACACTTTCACTCCCTCCAAATCTGATGGGAATTCCTCGCGTCGCCAATCAAGCTGCTCCCGCCAAAACCGTCAACGGCATACAGAACACATCGCTTCGCTTCGTCATTTCTTCATCGCCTTGACGGAACGGAAACTGCTTGCGTCCACTCGGAACCTACGGCTAGCGTTCGGTACCGTCAGCCAGCGTGTGCTGGTTTTGGTTTTAGCCAGACCCCTCCACTGGGATCAGGGATTTCAAGTGTTGTTCAGGCAGCGCTCTCTCAAGGTCTTCAAACCAAGACCTGCCCTAAGCTGCAGTATGGTTCTTGCGGCCAGGCCACTGATCCGCATGTCCCCAAACTTTCTGTATGACCACATTCTGTTTGAATTTTGAAAAAGCCCCGTATATTTTTCAGAGCAAGAATGACGTAACTCGGATTGAAACAAAATGTTTGTTATTACCCGGGAAACCAAGCTAAAGCACTACGAACCGCTCTGAATTTCGTCGTTGGCCAAATTCCTCACCGCCAGGCCGCAAATTATCGGCCGCAAAACGGAAAAACCACGTGGCGCTCCCCTTAGGCGTAGTTTTCGGCACCTCCACTCCACTCCACACCAGACGTCACGACTCACGTCAGGTCACCCCACCCAGTCCCCTTGAGCTCTTTCCCTTCCCTCTCCCCCACAGCAACCAAACCTCCTCACCTTCGAAGTTTCCTCGTCCCATATTTCCGTCACTCCTCGGGTTTCGTTCACTCGCGCAGTTCTGAAATTTGAGCTGCTCGAATACTAGGCTCCAGCACACCGCCTTCTCAGGTGCAAGGTCACGTCATTTACAGATCGACTTATTTGTTTTGAGGCCAACAGTCCCGTCGCGGACAAATAGCGTGCACCGCTCTTTCCCGTCTGAAAACGATAACAGCAGCACTGTTGCACTCACGTAATAGCTCTCTACTCACTGACGGTACGGTTCCATTAGCCCCTACCATTGCTCTGCACCCCTACCGCTCCTGCCCACTAGACCAGAACCTGAAAGAACTGTAGTATCCGCGATAAACTCCAGCTATTCCAAGAAACGCACATCTCGAGCGCGATGGAAGGAGGAGTGGCGGTTAGGGAGAACCGAATGGCGGCCTTCGCGGGAAAGTGGGAGGCGTTCAGCCAGACCAAGGTCGCGGCGCTGAAGGCGGCTGTAGCGCAGGGCGTGGCGCAGAGCCAGCAGATGTTCGAGAAGGAGAAGCCGGTCACGCTGACGCCTGGCGAGCAGGACGCTAAGGTGAATTCCTAAATTTACTCGTTATAAGCAGACTTCGTACCATTAGAAAAGTATAGCGCAGGGCGTGGCGCAGAGCCAGGAGATGTTCGATTCGAGAAGGACAAGCCTGCCGCGCTGACGCCTGGCGAGCAGGACGTTCAGGTTAGTTCTCGGAATTCTCGGAGTAGTAAGGCTGGCACAGGGCGTAGCACAGGGCGTAGCACACTTAAAAAAGCGTGAGAAGAGGAGAATGCAGCCCCCCTGACGTTGTTATTAGGTTTGGATCCAAGGTGACTGATTAGTTAAGAAGCTGCTACATGCCACTTCTCCTCCTCTGATCTCCCTTGACTACTCCTCATACACAAGCTGCGTCACGCCTTCAAGGTTAGCAGCCTCTATTATAGTAGAGAAGGTCATGCACTGTGTTGAAAATAGAGGTTTTTAATAGAGCCGTCGGAGAAAGGAGCGAGTTCAGAACGTGGTCACTGACACGGTCCCTCGTACGATCCGCACGGTCCGCTGTTAATCCATGGCTCGGCAGCATGGTCGCTGTGGCTGTAAGTGAAGGAGCTCTGAGCATCTCTCGGTCTGTCTGCGCAGGCGAGCCAGGCGAGCGGAAATCTTTTGCACGGGCGCCTATCTCCACCGCTACCTGCGCTCCCGGGACTGACACCATCTTGCACTGCTCTTGCACTGGCCTGGCCCTTCCCTTGCCCTTGCCCTTTCCCTTTCCCTTCCCTTGCCCTTCCCTGTCGCAGGTGAAGGAGCTGCGAGCTTGCCTCGGTCCTCTCCCCGAGCAAGCGAGAATCTTTTCCACAGAGGCGCCTGTCTGCCCCACTGCCTGCTCGCGCGCAACTGACATTCTCTTGTGACCCCCTTGGATTTGCCTCTTCTTCCCTTCCGCTTCGCAGGTGAATGAGCTGCTAGCGTCCCTCTGTCCCCTCCCCAAGCGAGCGCAGATATTCTGCACCGACGCCTGCCTGCGCCGCTACTTGCGCGCGCGCAACTGGAACGTGCAGCGCGCCGAGCGCATGGTGCGGGACACACTCAGGTGGCGAGACGAATGCCGGCCTGAAGAGATTCAATGGGTATGTGGAGCAATCTAGAGAGTCTTGTTAAAGAGTTTCATAAGCGGAGGATTGTGCTCCCCTCTTTGCTCGCAACTGGCGACGAGCAGCGCGCCGAGCGCCTGGTACGAGCGAGGCACGCTGAAATGGCGAGGCGAATGCCGGCCGGAGGACATGTGGGTACGTGCATTCGTAAGCGCGCACACACGTTCGTATGGCGACACGCGTTTTCGTTCCCAACGCAGACCCACTGGTTCCCAAAACTCGTCGTCGTCCGCAGCGAAGTCATTGCCACCACTTCTCGTTTCATCTACTGCCCACGAGTCAATATGGTGGTGGGTGCTGGCTGGAGGGACCAGCTTGACGCACTTCATCTCCCCCCCCCCTCCTCCCCAAACCCCCCCTTTCAACGCCCCCCCCTATATCATTCTCAATTGTTTAGCATGCATCCCCGCCACTACGGCGTTTCTTCTATTTCTGCCGTATTTCAGGCTGACGTGGCGGGGGCGAGACTCCGGGCACTGCAGTGGACTACGCACTATCTCCGATCGCCACCTCCCATCCCCACCTCCCATCGCCACCTCCCATGGCCGCCTCATCTGCACCTCTCACTGTCTCTCTATCGAATCCACATCTGATCGGTGCACTTCGGTGATTGCAGGCTGACGTCGCAGAGGAGGGCGAGACGGGCAAGGTGTACCGAACAGCGTTTCTGGACAAGAAGGGCCGCTCTGTGGTGGTGCTGTCTGCAGGCCAGCAGGTGAGCTATGAGCCGGATAAAAAAGGGGGCAAGGTGTACAGAAGATAAGGGCCGCTCTGTGGCGAAGTGTCTCGAGGTGTACAGAGCGGCGTTTCTGGACCAGTCGGTGGTGGTGCTGTCCGCAGGCCAGCAGGTGAGCTATGAGCCGGATAAAGAAGGGGGCAAGGTATACAGGAGAAGAAGCAAGGCGCTACATACAGAGTGGCATTTCTGGACAAGCAGGGCCACTAAGGTGGTGCTGTCCGCAGGCCAGCAGGTGAGTACGAAAGCAGAGTGGCCTATCTCTCCGCATTTCATGCATCACTGCACCCAGGCCCAGCATTGCAAACTGCCTTCCCATGCTCTCTTATCCTTGTACCACAGAACACCGAGGACCATGCGGGTCAGGCGCGCCATCTGGGGTACTTCCTTGAGAATGCCGCGATGAACCTGCCTGCCGTCATGTAAAGCCCCGAAGCAGCAGGCGAGCAGCAGCAGTGCAGGGGCTGTCCACTCATTTGTGCGTCTGTGTGCCTTCCCTTGCACCGCAGAACACCAAGGACACGCTGGTCAGGTGCGCCATCTGGTGTACTGCCTTGAGAATGCCGTCATGAACCCTGCCTGCCACTGCCCGCGAGCAGCTGCAGCAGCAGCAGCAAGGGCAGGGCAGGACCATGCCAGGGCGAGCAGGGAGAGGAGCTAGAGCATGGGGAGCAGGAGCAGATGGTGTGGCTGATTGACTTCCGTGGGTGGAGCATGCGCAAGGCACCGCCCCTCAAGACGGCTCGCGAGGTGCTGAGCATTCTCCAGAACCATTACCCCGAGAGGCTCGGCGCTGCTGTCATCTACAACCCTCCCGGCGTCTTTGAGGGCTTTTTGGAAGGTGCGTACGATCCTTGGTTAGAGCTAATTGGACAACAACATACAATGCTTATATTCTCTTCAATAGTACGTACTGCCGTGTGGGTGGTTATAGAGGCAGAACATTAGGTCACTCATTATAGAACAATCCTTATCTCGACTACATCTTGTCCTCACCCTCCCTGGCAGGTGATTCGCCCTTCATTGCCCGGGTTACATTCAACAAGATCCTCTTTGTGAATCCGTCTCATGCCTACCTCTTGTCCCCATCCTCCCTGGCAGGTGATCCGTCCCTTCATTGACCCCGTTACATTCAACAAGATCCTCTTTGTGAATCCGTCCAAGTCGGAAACAGTGAAGAAGCTCGAGGAGGTTTTCAACCTGGACAGCCTTGAGCAGGCGTTTGGAGGGCGATCCACGTGGACCTATGACCATGAGACATATGGCAAGATGATGGTGAAGGATGATGAGAAGACGGCACAGCACTGGGGGATCCGTGAGGGAGAAAGGTCGGCCCAACAGCAGGATATTGTGCGGAATGACAGTGGTGACAGCCTTGACAGCATCGAGAGCGGCAGAAGCAGCTCCAGCTTCTCCAACAGCAGCAGCAGCAGCAGCAGCGGCAGTGGCTGTGGCGCTAGCCTTTGGCTCCCTGTTGGAGCTCTTACTCCCACTGATCCAAACTCGCCACATCCAGCACATGGACCGGCACAGGCCGATGGGAGTCCTCACGACTCTCCATAAGATGAATCTGAACAAGTTTGTCAAGCGACCTTCGTGGACCTAGTAACTATCAAGTTGGCATAGATAGGCATATATTTAGGCATTAAAGCGCTGTTTGACTTTTGCATGTAATAGGAGCAGTTTGCTTCGGAAAAGGAACGAAGCTTTGTTGTGAAGCGAAGTCACGGTCA